CACACACACACACACACACACACACACACACACACACACACAGTATAATATCCACTACTGAATTCTTCTTCCCAGTTTTCTTTCCAAGTTTCAATTTGTTCATCTACAAAAGGAGAGAAACTATTAAGTCCTTTCTGCCAGCTCTGTTTGGAAGAATAACGAAATCAGTCACAGAAAAGCACCTGCGAAGAATACAAAGTGCCGTCTTTCATTTCTTCTAGTCATTCCCTAAAGGTTGATGAGGCAAAGGAGGAGCCAGCACAGGAGGAAGAGGTGCCTTTGTTGCTGCTGCTATCTTCTGTGGATCTGCACAGGAGGTCACTGAAACCAAGCAACAGAAGCTGAGAGCGAAGATGCCCCCTCAAGAAGGAAATGAGCCTCAAGGAGAGGACAACTGGAAAGAGAAAGAGTGAAATCCAAAATCCCTTGAATTTACTAGTGAGTGAACTTCATGGAGCGCTGGTGGCTGACACGCCTGAGACCAGCTCTGTTGGGGTGTTGTCCTATCTGTCACTGAAAAAGGTTGCATATTCTCCTGCCTCTTTTATGTTTTTAAACTTTAGAGCTTATGTTTTGATGCCTGAAATAAAAACCTTTGCATCTGTATGGATGTCAAGTTTGTGCAACATTTTCCTGTATTTTCTCTGGATCTTTATATAAAAACTTCAGACTAATTTTTGGTGCCTGGGACAACAACCTGTTCTACTTCCTCCCTCCTAGAATAATTTAAAAATAAAAATGCCTCCCATAATTCCTTTTTTTTAATATTAATTTTTAATTTTAGGTGGACTCAATATTTTTATTTTATTTTTAAAATAAAAGAGAATTGAACCCAGGACCTCAGGCATGCTAGGCGAGTGCTCTACAAATTGAGCCACAATCCCAGCCCCCAGAGCATTATTTCTGACAATGGCAAATCTACTGCAGTGAGCTGGGACAGGTGTGACAAGACAGCCAAAACTTCCCACTAGCATTGAGAACATCATCACCAGAACACAGCAGGCCCTAAGGAGTTGTTTGCTGCTGTTGTTGATACCCTTTGGTATGTGTATGTGCTAGCAATATGAACATTTGTGCATTTAGACAATTTTCATGTCGTTTTAAAAAAGATAAAATGTGGGTCCAGTTTGTCTCAATTTTTCAAAGAATGTGGTTCACTACTTCCTTTTCTGCTGTGGCTCCTCTCTGTTCCTAGCAATTGCACACAAAAAAATGTGCTGCCAATCTTTTCTTGACTAAAAGAATGGCTTCCTTACTTTTGAGAAATTACAAATGTCGAGTGGGGACTGGAGATGCAGTAGAGCACTTGTCTCACATGTGCAATTCTCTGGGTTCTTTGGGGGGTGGGGGTGGGAACACCAAAATGTTTAATGGTTCTCCCTTGTACTTTTTTAAAAAATATTTTTTAGTTGTAGGTGGATACAATATCTTTATTTTATTTTTATGGTGCTGAGGATCGAACCCAGTGGCTCACGCATGCTAGGTGAGCACTCTACCTCTAAGCTACAACCCCAGCCCATCTTGCACTTTTTTTTATAGTGCTAGGGATGGAACTCAGAGCCTTGTGCACGTCGGGCAAGCACTCTACCACTGAGTTACATCTTCAGCTCTAGTTTAAAGGTTCTCCCCCACATCCCTGAAATTATGACTAAGTTGCCTAGGTTGGCCTGAAACATCTGGGTTCAGGGATCCTTTTACTCCAGACCAACAAGTAGTAGGAATATAGGTGTGCACCACCACACCTGGTTTTTAAATTATAATTTCTTAAAAAATTCTCAAGTCTAAAAAAAAAAGAAAAAAAAAATCATTTGACCTCTGTCATGAAGAAACGCCAGCCTTAAAGCTAGAAAACCCAAAACTTCAATGAAGATGACAAATAAAAAGCACATCATCATTCACACAAAATAGCTAACTGCACACAGGCATCAGCTAAGAAAGAACAAGAGAGAATTGACCACTCTAGTAGCGTGGAAGATCCTGCTTGCCATTCCTTTTCATGTCAGATGGCCTGGAGGGGAGAGGCCACTCTCCAGTGCTCTTCTATACAAATGGAAGACTCTGTGCCTCCCTCCTCTCTTAGGGTGACCATCTTGCTGCACTGAGTTTGACCTAGGAGTGGCCTGGACTCTGCTTTCCATGCTGTGTAAGGCAGACCCTATGCAAAGTACCACCAGCTGCATGAGTACACTTCTTTGAACCTTTTCCCCTAAAGGCTATAAAAGTACATAACCCCATACTACGGGGCTCCAGCTCCTGGCTCACTCACCTTCTCAGCCATGGCATCCATGTAGTCCTGTCGCTGGTACTCTCTGCGGCGCAGATGCCTATACACGTGGAACTCTCCACTGCCAGCCCCAGCACTTGAACCTAGAGCCAGAATGACCCAGAGTTCCAGATGAAATCCAGTTACCATCACAGGTCACCCTTAACTAAAAGGGACTGAAGTAAAAACTGGAAGTAATGGAAGGCACCATGCCTGCCTTTTTCCACTTATACCCCAGAGCAAATGCAGGGTTTGGCATGTCACAGGGACCATTAAATTGTTGTGTGAATGTTGACTATGAAATTACTAAACATTCCATTCTAATGTATTATCAAGAGGAGGAAAGACTGTGATTTAAAGACCAAAATCTAGAAGAGAATGATGACCCCATGTCCTCCATTATTTCACATTTGGCTGCTAGATTTCTAGCAAGTTGGAAAGGTATCCACGATATTTTAAGTAAAAAGATGGAGATTACAAAAATAATATGTGCAGAACACCTGTATTCTTATAAAAGCATTTTTTTCTTATATCAGTGATGTTGACTATAAAGAGGTTGGAAGGCTTTATCAAAACACTTCAAGCAGAATTATGGAATTACAGGAGATTCTAAGTTCCTTATATTTTTATGTATTAAATGTATATATTACATAATCTATGTATTAAATATGTATAAATTCTTTATATCTCTAAGTATTACTTGTTTCTATTTACAATTAGAATGTTAGTAGATAATCCAACAAAATAATAAAGAACACAGAAGAAAGTTGTCTAGTGCCAAACCATAAGCAACTGTACCCCATCATTGTAAGAACAAAATTCTGGACCACTGAAGATTTTTTTTTTCTATTTAAAGATCTATTTAACAAATACTTCAGGAGATACACATGTGTGTGTGTTGTGTGTGTGTGTGTGTGTGTATATACATATATCTTTAAATTTATTTATACACAGATAAAGGACATTACCCATTACATCTCGGACAAATTCTGGGGGAGGTCGAGGTGCCCATTCACTCATTTTTTCCGGGATTGGAACTGCTTTGTCCTGCAATATTTAAACAGGAAAGCATCTGTTAAGAATAAATCTGCTGACAAACTTCCATCTCTTATAACCAAAGACTAGCGAAGAGGGCTGGCTTTGCTACTCAGACCCAGAGCTGATTTTTCTCCTTGCCTGCCGTAGGCAAGGGCTACACTTCCCAGGGCAGAACTCAGAAACCTGTCACCGTTAATGGCCAGTAACCTCCAACTTGAGCCCTACTCAAGGAGGAGAACCAAGCTTTTCTAGTCAAAGGTCTAGGAAATGGACCATCTCATCGATTGTTTTTAGGATCTGGGGAAGCGAGGCCTGGACGCGTGAGCGAGGTGTTCTGGCTGCCCCCCTCAAACCGTGAGTACTCTTTGGAAGAAACAAGCCCTTTTGCTAACTCACAGCTTCCAACTTCTCAGTCTAACGCTTCTGTCCTCGGAAAGTCAACCGAAAAGCATGAAGCCCTCCGCAGCACCTTCAGGCAGGTTTCTACACAAGGACAGATGGAAGCTCGCCATCTCTTCCGGGACAGTTCCCAAGGGCTGCTCTGGCATTAATTAGGGTGCCGAGACCTCGAGTCTGGCGGCGGGGGATGGGGGTGCGCGGACCCCCAGAGGCGCCGGAGCGGAGAGGGGTGGGCCTCGGACGCGCCGCAGAGCCCGCGCTTCCTCTCACCGGGTTCTTCATGAGTCGCTCCAGCTTAAGCTTCTGCTCTTCCGCCGCATTCTTGGGGATGACGAGGGCCTGCGGTTCTTTCTTGGGCCTCGGCGGTCGCACAGACGAGGCGGCCGGACTCGCCATAGCAACTCTCCCACTTCCCGGGCGAGCGAAGACCGCGGCGCGCCCTTATGACAACAGAGCCGGAGACGCATGCGCAGTTTCCGTGCGCGGGAGGCGTGGCCGCGGGCAGGGGCGGAGTCGCCGAACGGAAGTGGCCTGCTGAATATTCATGAGCCTGAGGCTGGTCTGGCTTATTTTGATCCAAGCGGCTTGATTTCATTTCCTGTTTCTGAACAAATCTGCGCGGCCGGACGCCCACGTCTCTGGAGGCGAGGTGGCCCCTCACGCTCTAGTGGTCCGGGCCGACCTCTGCAGTTCCAGCGGGCACCGTGCTGCAGAGGGCTCTCAGCTCCTGCTCCCGCCGCGCTCCCCTCGCCTCTGGGCTTTGTCTTGCCAGGTCCGTGGGTCCCCGAACTCCCATTTGCGACAATCTCCATTTATATAAGACGGCGCAACATGTCACTGAGCTTCCTGAAAACTGGGAGCCGGATGTCCTCTGTCACCTTGGAATTCCTCAGCCGAGGGCATGAGGCTGTTTTACCAGAAAGAGAAGAGCCGCCCCTCCAGTCTGGGAGCCGGCCAGACATTCACAGCTAGGCCTGAGGTTCTGTGGAACGCAATTAACTCCACCGAACACCCACATCACACAAGGCCTTCCTGGGACTGTGATGGAGCGAGACCTAGAGCGCTCCGCAGTCCTGTCTGAACTCGCGAAAGCAAGAATATTGCTCCTACCAGAAAGAGACCCACATCTTCCCACTCCAGCTAATACTAGTAACTGCGGCTTCTTACCTGCGCCAGCCCTGATTCCTTCCTTTCCTTTTACATATTGTGACCAGTTTTTATTTTTATTTATTTTTGTTACTGGGACTTGAGTCTAGGGACACATTACTACTGAGTGACATCCCCAGCCCTTTTTATTTTATTTATTTATTTTTGAGACAAGGTCTTACTAAATTGTTGAGGCTGGCCTGGAACTTGTGATCTTCCTGCCTCAGCCTCCCTCCCTGTCGTTTGGATTAGAGGCACGTGCCACCGGGCCTGGCTATCATTAATTTTACATGTCAACTTGACTGGGTCATGGAGTCCCTGAATATTTGGTCAAACATGATTCTGGGTGTGTCTGTGTGTTTCTGGATGAGATTAATATTTAAATTGGTAGACTGCGTATATCCTTCTAATATGTGGCTCTTATCCAATCAGTTAAAACCCTGAATGGAACAAGACATCCCTCCTACAAGGGAGACGGAATTCTTGCTTGATGGCTTCTGAACTGGGATCCAGTATTGGCTTTTGTCCACCAGACTTCAGACTGGGGTCTTGGCCTTCCAACTGGGACCAGAACTACATCATCAACCCTGGTGGCTCTCCAGCTTCCTGACTCAGCCTTCTGATGTAGGACTTGTCAGTCTTCATGATCTCATGAGCCAGTGCCTTATAATAAATACATTATCTTGGTTGTTTCTCTAGCGAATCTAATATAAATATTTATTAAGATATCTGATCATAGAATTGTCCTCACTTCCTGATAGCATCTAAACCAGAACAAAAGCATACTTTCACAAGTCACCGTATACAAACCCAAATCTTATTTCAAGCCTTGTCAACAGCCTCTGCCTGAGATAAATATGGCCTTCCTTCCTGTAACAAGCCAGAACCCCAGTTTGTTCAATTACAGATGTGTTCCTGTTAGTCTTTACAGCTTCTGTTTTCTTGTTTGCCATTCGAGAGCCCCTGTACAGTAGATGTCCGCCTATATTTCTTACGGTATCCCAGTGTCTGGGGCATTCCCAATGCCATTTCTTACATATCCCAGTGCCATTCCACAGCAAGGCACTCTAAATAAACATTTACTGGATGAACACAGCATCTTAGGGACAGGAACCTCAATACTACTGCTGTCTGCTCAGCCCAGAACAGTTCTCCCACTGGGTTCCCAGGAGGATGGAAGGTGGACAAGGGAAGGATGCTTCATTAGTTCTCTAAAGGCTGTTCCTGGATGCCCCATAGTGGGTGATTTTCCAAGGGTGAGGGGAATTCAGGGAAGTCCTTGACTGGCCTTGGTCTGTCATTGGAATCCAGAGAGGGCTTAGCCTGGGTGGGTTCATACACACAAATTTGTCCTTTATTGTACACTTTAGCAACCTGGTACCTCACTTGTCTCTAAACACTCTACAAAACAAGGACTTTGCCTGGAATGTCTTCTCTTCACTGAAGAACTCCCACTCAGGGGGTTCTTACCTTGGCTTAAATGTCACTTGCTAGTTGGGCACAGTGATGCTCATCTGTAAGCCCAGTTGGGGAGACTGAGGCAGAAGAATCACAAGTTTGAGGCCAGCCTGGGCAATTTAGCCAGACCCCATTTCAAAATAAAAAATAAATAAGGCTGTGGATGTGGCTCAGTGGTTAAGTCACCTGCTGCTAAAAAAAAAAAAGAGCAAATGGACACTCAATAAATAAGTGGTTACTCAGTGAATGACAACACGAGACATTATTGCAGCACAGAGTTACAGAGCTAGGAACACTGGGCCAGCATCTGACCTGTTGGCAGCTGTTGCTACAGCACCCCCAGCTCAGGGTCAGGCACACAGATGGGGTGTGATGGACAGTGAGCAGATGGAAGTTCAGTGAATTGATGATGTGAACAAATGCACGAAGGTGGTAGAGAGCAGGTGGTATGACAGCTGGTAATGACCTTGATGTCCAAGTCCATCCATGTCACTGACGTTCTTATGGTCCTGGTTATACAGATAAGGATGAGAGGGAAGAGGCCCAGGCTCTCACAAAGTCAAATCTGGGTCTCTGGTGGCCTGAGTGATTAAGGGGCTCACATATGGATAGAAAAAGACCCTGGTGGAGAGTGTTCACCTGGCACCCTCCTACAACAGGAAGCAGATTTGAGAGTCTGCTTTTTGGGATGAAAGATTCCTCTCCCTCACCTCTGAATGCCCCACAGGTCTCAGACCCAATTGTGCCATCCCACCCACCACCAGGGGGCAGCAAAGCCCCACCCAGACCAACCATGTCTTTAAGCCCAGCCACTGCTGGGGATCCTGGAACTGGGCACTTAGAAAGCAAGGTCTCCCATTCAGGGAAGACACTGTGCTTTGGGGTTTGGGAGACCTGGTGCCAAATTTTGGCTTCGCCTACTCTAAGCTTGCAACTTAAGCTCTCCAACACGGTTTCCTCACGTGCCAGGAGGGCACCAGCAAACCTACCCTGGAGACAGGTTCATACACCAAATGATGTATGTGTCCAGCACAGCGCCTGACACCCAGAGGGTGACTGCCTGCCCCAGTATGGTCCCAGAACTGAGAGGTTGGGATGTGGGACTTCTAATGTCAAAACCAAGAGTCTCAGGAAAACTGGAACAGTTGATCACTCAAAAGGGCCACCCCGTCTCAGTCCTTGGAGTCATGGATGACACTGAAAGTGCTGAAGCAGTAAAGCTGTCTACGAAGGTTCTAGAGTCTGAGTTTCTCATGGAATTAGCGAGTCTGTGGTCTTTTTACAAATGTCCTGGGGCTGCTCAGGGTTCTGGAAGTCCTAGGTCAAGGGCTGCATCTGTTCAAAAGAAGAAAACAGATCCATGAACAGAGATAAAAACAAAGAGGGAGGCTGGGGCAGCGGCTCCATGGTAGAGCACATGCTTAGCACCCATGAGGCCCTGGATTCCATCCCCGGCACCCCTGGAAAGCAAAAAGGAGAAAAAACTGTAAAAACAAGTCAAAAACAAAGATAGACTATCTCCACTTCAGAAAGGAGCTTGCCATTTTTCTAAGTGTACGTTAGCAACCCAGCAGCCTCACTCCCGGGTGTTTAGAGAAGTGAAAACAGATGTTCCCACTGAATAACCTGTATGTGAAAATGTATAGCAGCTTGACTCCTTATTGCCCCCTACTGGCAAATACCTACCTGTCTATCTAAGTGGGATTTATCCTCTCAGTGAAATTCTCCTCAGCACTAAAAGGAAGAACCTGTTGATACTTGCAGCAACATGGATGAATCTCAAAAGTATCTGGCTGCCCAATGTGGTGGTGTATACCCGGAATACCACCTACTGGGGTTGAGGCAAGAGGATCACAAGTTTGAGGCCAGCTGCACCAACTTAGTGAGACCCTGTCTTAAAACAAAAGGGTTGGGAATATGATTTGGTGGTAAAGTGCCCTTGGGTTCAATCCCCAGTACACCCCCCACAAACACACACACACATATCTGAAAGTCCACAACCTGAGCAATTCTATTGACTGAGCATTCTGGAAAAGCCAAACTAAAACAGATCAGAAGTTGCCAGAGACCAAGAGTAGGTAACAGGAGGAGATGAGGGGCATATGGCCTGAGGGAACTTTTTTGGACTGGAAATGTTCTATATCTGAATCATGGAGATGGTAATCTGACCATACACATCTGTCAAACTCATGGCAGCATATACTTAAAAAGGGTGATTTAATTCTATTCAAGTCCCATCTCGATAACATTGACATAATAAACAACAGCTGACTAGCTTTTCACATTTGGGTGTTTGGGGGAAGTGGTGCTAATATTCAGCCCACAGTGCACCCCACATGCAGCTTGAGCTCTATATAATCTGCCCCACCCAGCAGAAGGCCAATGGTAGGGCAATAAGTTTTCCAAAGCCCAGAGGCCAATGTGCTGGGCTCCACATGCTCAGAGTCCTGGCTGTCCTGGTGGCAGAGTCCTCTCTTAAGCTGGGCCACGCTGAGCAGACATAGCAGGCACCTGGGCTGGCAGCTGGCATGGTCTCCACCCACCAGACTTCCCAGTTTGGGTCACTAAAAGGCCTTCCTGTCCCTGAACTTGAACCCTCAGGTCTGCTGGGTAAAGGGCACAGCAGAAGCGCTGCTGTGTGCATTAGTTTTCTGTTGCTAATGATTGAATAGCACAGACTGGGTGATTTTAAATGAAAAGGTGATGATTTGGGTTCCGGGTTCTGGAAGTCTTAGGTCAAAGGCTGCATCTGGTGATGACCTTCTTGCTTGAAGAGTCCCAAGGAAGTGCAGTGTATTACCAGGTGAGAGACAGGGAGTGGGTCCTGTGTGCTTCTTACGGTCTCTCTCCTTCTTCTTGTAAAGCCACCAGGATTCACTCATGGGGACTCTACCACAATGGCCTCATCTAACCCTCGTCACCTCCCAAAGCTCGCCTCTGAATACCACAGCTGAATTAAGTTTCCACCTATTCAATATCTTGTCACCATGGGGACCAACCACATTCTAGCCATCCCAGATGTATCCCCATCTGGGCTGGTCCATGACTGCTCTGTGTCCTTGGCCCCTCTCAGCTCTTGACCCTACTGTTCCCACCTGTGACCCACAAACCCTCCTTGGATGACCTTCCATGAATGTGTGGACCACTCACAGATCCTCTGCTGAGCTCCACACACAGGAAGAAACCATATTTAAAATGCCCCCAAGACAATGGAAATCAGTCAGTAACCTTCAGAGCGCTTTCCATGTGCCAGGGTCTTGGTCTACTGGGCCCTGTGCATTACCTCATTGAATTCTCACAAGAACCTTATGCAATAGATTCTATTTTTAACTTTCTTTTTTCCAGGCCTGAGGATTGAACCCAGGGCCTCCCACATGCTAGGTAAGTGCTCTACCAGAGAGCTACACCCCTGGTCCCCTACTCACCTAATTTTAATGGTAATTACTTTTTTACTTTTAGTATTTTAATATTTTTACCAAAACATCAACCCTAAAACTCCATTTTCGTTTCTGGAACTCCACATACCTAGAATCAATCAGAATGTATTTTCTATTCTGTGGCTTTTGGTTTACTCTCTTGCTTGTATCTTTTTGTCCAAAAGCTCTTCATTTGAATGTAGTCAAACATTTCTATTTTCCCCATTGAGGGATTTTTGTGTTCTATTTTTAAAAAACCCATTTCTTACCCCAAGGTTGTAAAGAAACTCTTTAATATTATTTTTAGATGCTTTATTGTCTTGCCTTTCGCATTTAGATCTACGATTCACTTAAAATTATCTTTTGGGTTTGGTGCGGAAGCCTAATTTCATTCTTTCCATATTGATGACTAAATTTCCCAGAACCACTTATTGAAGAAACTGCTTTTCCTCACTGTGCTGATGCTTCATTTCAAATCTCAGCACAATTTTATTCTGGCCATTGCCATTGGCAACCAGCTGAGCGCAGGTGTGTGCTAACTCTCAGGTGCACCAAACAGCTCTCTGTTTATGCCCTGGGGCCCACTTGGTGCAGATCTGGAATCTGCAGGGGAGTTGTTACTTGTGGCGATACCTAACTAATGGGGACAGGAGTTGGTGGCTAATTGTGTTTCTCTTCCTTCTCCGTCTCAATCTTCCTAGTCTCCTACTTTCCATCCCTTTGAGATCACTGCTCCTAAATAAATTACTCACACTTCTGGAGGGAACCGAGGTACTGGACATGGGTACTGGAGGTGGCTCAAGAAAGCAGCCCCCCCAGGATGGGATCAGGGAATAGAATTATGCACTGGTCAAGCTACAAAGAAAGACCCTCTGCTGGGGTGAGTGGAATGGGATAACCCTGGCCTGGAGCAGCATGATGATGACTAGTGCTCTCTCCTGTTAGATGTAGGTAGAAAGTGAAGCTTTGGTTTAGGTACCAATTGCCTGCACTAGAAAGAACTGGGAGCAATGGCGAGTGTTGGTTGCTTTCTGTTACCTATTTTGAGGGCTTG